TCAGTGTCACCTGTCCTGCCTTCTTAGATTCCTTTCTAACTCTTTCCTGGGGGAGGGCTCTCTACTATGTGTGCATAAGGGTGCATGGGGCTGTGAGTGCAGCAACTGGAGTCAGACCATGGGTCACAGTACCCTTTTGTTTGTGCTACCAGAGACTGGAATGAGCACAGGTCTGTGAGTAAGTGTGTGACCAGTAGCAAAGCTAGGAATTCTTATTCAGCCTCACTACTTGTTGAACTTGGGAACAAGCAGCCTCACCTCTCTTGGGCCATTGGATCCTGCACGGTATGTTTTCCTCTAAGTTTACCATCTGACAAAATACCTGAAACAACTGCTGTTTCATCACCTGAAGGAAAAGTCTTCCAAAGACAGGCATGTCCCCTTCCCTTCTGCATTGCAGTGCAGCAGCAGCACCAGGCCAGGCCAGCACCCTGAGTCGGAGACTGCTCAAAGATGAGGCTGTTCTCAGCCAGGCTGTGCAGATGCTACAGACACCAGCTTTGCTTTCACCACTACAATATGACATACTAATGACCTGTCACTTTTCAAGCTGCATAAGCATTCATTTCTTCCTGATTATGTTTAAATGGAGTTAGGAGATAGTAAAATCACAAATATTATGTGTATGTTTAATTATACCTCTTCACTTTCCAAATAATGTTTTCCTCTTAGAGTACTATTAAGCTTTTATTAAAATGACAGCAACATCACTAGGAATCAGATAAGTGCACTTAGTTTTGCAACATTTTGATTAGAGCTAGCACAGCTTCCTATTTGCTTATGATGATATGGAAAAAAAGAAAACTTAAATCTCTCCTAGAGACTTACACATTGTCTTTTGTATTTTATGTTGTTACAGTGGCACTTACTAAAGTAAAACATTAACATTGCATTGAACTAAGGTACTAAATACAGTAAGCATGGCAACTTAGAAAGGGGAACCAATTTCACATTCTAGCTGTCTTCTGTTGTCAAAGACCAGTCCAAAATTAATTGAATGTGAAACAACATTCTATTTGTGGGGCCTCATCAACTAGCAGTGTTTGGACTGTGATTTTTCATCCTCTTCCATGTGTGCTTTTAGCAACAGGCAAGAGAAGAGGATCAGGATTTCTAAGGCTTCACAAGTGACATTAAAATAGGTAAGGGCTTGTCTGGCTTCTCTTTAGTGAGAAGAAAAGGCCTAATGAGGAAACAACAATCAATAAGACAGAAGTAGTCACTGTCCTAAAAGCAAGCACTTTTGGAAGATCAAACCTCCCATTAAGATAGTATCAAATTATGTGACTGTACCTATTGACATGCCACATAAAAGGTTTGGGAGAAGGAAAGAGAACCAGGCCAGGAAAAATAATACAAGCAATATCCTAGAAAGTACATGAGATGAAGACACCTCCAAAAACTAGTAAATCACACACAGCCCTGTCATCTACACTTAATACTGGCTAGAGTGCTGAAAATTACCCCCATCTGGACTGATAGGATATGAGTTCACTGAAAAGGGAATAAGGAAACTGAGGACTAGATACCTTCAAAAAAAAAAAAAACCCACGCAAAAAAAAAAATAACAACAAGAGAACCAGATGTTATGACTCAAACTGTAAAGCTATGACAACTTTCACTTTCTATAAAGTGAGCTATGCATTTCAAGAAACAGTTTACTGAAAATGGACCAATGACCTACTCTTCTTTAGGAAAACCTATTAAAAAACCCACAATACATGTATACAAAACTATAAAGGTATTTAGACTATACCTATTTTCCCCAGCCAACAAAATTATGTTATCCATAATGTCTGCATTATGTTGAAGAATCGCCCAATGTAACTTCACACAGTGTATTTTGGGATCCTGATCCATCTTCTGGTTGTGCTGATTTTACACTCAGAGGAAAAGAGAGTTAGTATCCAGTTATATCTTTGTAAGCAACAGTACTGTTAGGTCCCTCTAATTTCAAACTCTGTCCACAAGCAGAAACAGGTAAGATCAGTTTAGGAATCTTCAAGAGTGAAAGGAGAGGATGAGCATTAAAAGGAATACAGAAAAAGAAAAAAAAAAAAAAAAAGTTCCTCTTCTGGGAAGCTATGTCAGTCTTCCATTTCAGAACTGTGAGGTATGACAGTAATGAGAAACAGAGGGTAAGAAGAAATGAAACAATGGAAAACATATATATGACAACCCAAAGATAAGCAAACAAAAAACCATCAGACCTTTCAATTAAAACAAGTACACTGAAAATTAAATGCTTACCTGAGACAATATGCTAGACTGATCTCAAATAGTATGAGCTTCAGTACTTGCTGTGGTAGGCTCTTTAGCCTACGCATTCCACAAGACCCCAAAAGTACAGCTCTGTTTACCTTTAAAACCAGGCACCAGGTCCCTTCTATTCCGTTACTCTTTGACCCAAAAATTTTTCAACTGGTTGAGAATTCCATTTGTCAAATTACTTTAAAACAGTTTTGACCATTTCAACAGACCCTGGCAGACCCATCTGTATATGGATAACTCCCTCTGCACAAGTTAATGTTAGTGTGCTTTCAAGAATGGTTGGAGTGATATTTGGTCTGCTCCTGCCTAACAATATTTTATTCATACAGGAGTATACAGGTTTTTTTATCAATTAGTTCCCAGCAGGTTCCCTTCTAGGAAGCAGGACAGTTGACCCAAGTCATTGAAACAGGCAGCAACAAAACAATGTGTTGGAGGACCTAGGAGTAGGGTTGTTCCTTTTAAGCAAAGTATTATAAAAATAACTAGGAAAATCCAAATAGTTTTTTTAATAAATAAAATAATTAATTAATTAAAACCTTCAGGGGAAGATAGTATTTAAATTGCAATGGGCTCCACTGTTAAAAACTCAAGGAAGCAAAATGATTCAAGATGTTTTGATGCTTATGGGGAAAAGAATAAAAGCACTGAATTTAATCTGTATTACCACTGCTCTGAGTACAGGATTCTCTTTTCCTTTTTTTTTTATTTAATATTTCTCCCAATTACTGCTAGATTTTGATTTGCATAAAGTCCAGACTATTGCTCCTTGCTGCTAAAGCTGACTTCAAACCTGAGGAAAGTCTTCCTTCCCTAGCTAGGACTTTAACAGCCAGCTGTCATCAAAAGTTGAAGATTATGACAATATCAAATTGTTTTCCAGTACCACAGGAACCAACACAGATGTTCAGATGACATGCATCAACTAAGAACTATGATGTAAGTGTTTAGAGTTACAGGTGGCTAGGCAGCAAGAGCCTATAAACTCTTAGGAAGCAAAAGATCCTATTTTTATGCAAATGTCCTCAGTGCTGCTGGGTAAAAACTGGTGATCTCAGCAGAGACTCAAGATGCTTTTTACTGTTACCCACTCTGTCTTGAAATACAGTGTTAAAACTTTGAAGAGCAAAAGGAATTCAAAAAGTGCTGTCAGCCTTTGCGCCACACAGGTTTAATCCCACATGGCCCTGCAATAGGGCTGAAGAAAGTTGCAGTTCTCAGTGTTGTGAACTCATGATCAAGCTCCTACAGCACACCAGGGCTCACAGCTGGGTTAATCACACATCAGCCAATCATTTGGCTTTTCCTGGGCTAGAGGCTCCCAGGGACCACTTCCCAAGACCAAGAAACTAATTGCTCCCATTACCCTGTAAAGTAAAATCTCAATCAGCTGGCAGCAACCAGGAGTGAAAGCTAATTTATTATCTGCTTATGTGTGGGTTGTTTTGTTTGGTTTTTTGGTTGGTTGTTGTTTTTTTTCTATTTGCAACTGCAGAGAATGTTTTAAATTTTACAAGTAATTGTACAAAGGGAAAAAATGCAAACAACTGCTATCACTACAAACTTACTCTTAGTCTAAAAACACAGCAAGATTGTTAAGAAACTCCTTTACAGTAAGATTCTCTCACTGCTGCTATGACTCACTCTGTTACTTGAAAACTTCATATTTACTTTTGGGGCTGCAACACACTTCTTTCCACCTTCCTGCTAGCTTGGATGGGACTTATTGATGAGCAAAAAGATCATCAGCCTCTAGAAAACACATGGATCATTCTTGCCTTTTAATCCCTTATAGAATTTCAAAGTGATGTTTAGCCATCCATAAATCTTACCACATAAAATCTAACACAGAGGATCTGCCAGTTCAGAAATCTGGTTTCAAGTAAGATAAGCCTCAAAGTTCACTTGAGAGCTAGAGAATTCCAGTCTTTTGGAAGTCCCTTTTACTTTGAGACTTACATCAACTTTGACCAGCCCTTTGAAATAGAGCAGAAAAGATTTTTTTTTTGTTCAGTCTTGAATTGGATCTGATATTTCACTATTATTTTTCACAGAGATTTTATAATCCTTTGTCCCTACTTTTACAGGCTGAAGGGACCAAAAGATTCAGATGAAATTTATTATAGAAACCTAAGAGGGGCAAATCCTATATAAAAGGTTATCACATAACTTTGATAATATACTCAAAATCTAAGATCTAATTTTTCCTTCTTTTATAGCCAAATAAAAATTACTTTGAATAAATAACAGGTTAAATTGTCACCATTGTGAAATAAAATGAGAATCTGAGGTAGGCGTGTTTTGTTTTTTAAATATGCATGCCTTTTTTGTAGTGGAGAAGTGCATACAGTACCTGTTGTTATTCTTACGTGGTTCTTTAAAAGTTTTCGTAAAGACAACAGGTTACCAGTGAAATACAACATCAGCTCATCAGGTTCCTCAGGTGCTCTTCTGCAAAGCTATGAAATAATAGTTCATCTCCTCCTGGGAGAACCTTAACACAAAATTTTCACATACAATCACCGTACTGTCTTCCCTCTTCCCCTCCAGCTTCATATCCCACCCAACCCCCTTCAATTTCAGAAGATGTTGTTGTTTAAAAAAAAAAATAGAAAAGGAAAAAAAAAAAAGAAAAATAAAAAGAAAACAGCTTATAAAACAGCAAAGAAAATAAAGTTATTTTAATATATATAGAAAGAGAACAAAATGAAACTTGAGGGAAAACTTACTGGCGTTACAGTTTATCCTGATACAGTCTAGATGGGGAAAAATAAATGAAAGATGAAATTGCATCCTTCAAGGTAACAGCTGCAGACATCCAAAAACAATCAGTCCACCCTTCCGGGGACAGACACACGCAAAGAGATGTGGCCATTTTATACTTATATACAGTCTGTACAAGTTCAGGAGTGGGTGTATATGTACAGTATATTCTACATAAATATCTGTTACATAAATATATATATATACATACACATATATATACACATATGTATAGAGAAATATACCAGTATACATATATATCCACATGTTGACACAGAAAGCTACTTTTTGTAGAAAACTATGCATCTAATAGTATCTTCTACTCCAGACCACGATCTGATGTGAATTACAATTTAAAAATTGATAATTAAGGCACAAAAAAAAATCTCCCTCAAAATGCAAGTCATACTCCAGTGTCATTTTGCCTTTTTAAAGACCTTAGGCAATTTCTGTAAGAAGTGTGAAGCTCAAAGTCAACTTTCACATTTAGTTTCTTTTGAATTAATTTGTATTGTTACTGCATAAATACACCATCTGTCCAACACAGAATACCTGTAAAATCAGCCTTTGAGATCTGTTGGTGCAATATTTAATCCTTTCCAGCTCTCCCAAAGACCCCATCCTCTTTCCCCCAGTGCCAGCTCAGAACACTTTAATATGTGCACAGACACATTTGACACTGTCCATTTTGGTGAGGAAAGGGTTAATATATTGCCCACTTGTGTCCTATCATAAAATGGCCACTTGCAAACAGCTAACCGCACGAACGCCCAGCCCAGATTTCAGCTAGTTCTGGAGGTTGGGATTAGTTTTTTTTTGTTTTGCAGGGGAAATGAAGAATTCTTTCAAAGGTCCCCAGCCCTGCCAGTTCCTCAGAGCCCAATCTCATCTTGCTGTCTGAAAGCTAGGATTGAATTGTATGCTTGTAACGTTCAGAGAGAAGATGAAATGGGCAGTGAAGTGGCAGATCTGGGAACCTTTGCTGGCCCTGCTTCATTCAGAGGTTAAAAGTAGGGGAGGGATGAAGAGGGATACATGAAAAGAAAAATATAGTTATGTTTGTGGAATCTAGTAAATGGTAATGGAGCAGTCTGCACAAAGAAAAGAAGCTGAGGTAGGAGAGCCTGTGCTAGAGGGCTTCTGAGCATTGTTTTTCTCATTTAACACAGTAATGCTCAGCATATCTCAGGATACGACCCATGAGAGGATCTTTCATTTAGAAATGCCTTCTTACAGCCTTGAGACCACCCATTACTGTGGTGTCTGATATGGGCAACAGCTATTATATCAATGCTATTACGCATCTTGGGCTGTACTGACCTTCTCTCATGAAATCAAGGCCAGGAATAATAGCACCATTCTACTGGACACCCTGTCTGGACAACTGAAGGTTTGACCAGCAGGGATAGTCCTATTTATTACAGAGATATGGCCCAGCAAGAGAGATTATATAGAATGGCAGAAAAATATAAAGCAGTTTGCTGCTTAACTGGACCAATTTTACATTTACTTAGATAGATGCAAGAAAAATATTTCAGCAGCTGAAACTAAATGCAGTTCTTAAAAAATGAAAGAGGGGTAAGAATAAGTCTGTAAATAAAGAGCCATAATGAGCAGGGATACATCAATCAGGAGCAGCATAGCCAGAGACAGTCTGTTTTCAAGCAGAACTTCTCTTCAGAAAAACTGGGTTTGGTTTTGTGCGATTAGGTTTGTCATGTGTCGTCAACCGCAACAGAAAAGTGGGAGCAAACAGCCCTGGAGCAATTGGTACAATCACCATACAGTGGTGGCTATATCCCTTACAGGAGTCAGGTGGGGTAAGGGGAGCTCTGCAGTACATGCTGGGAAACTTTCCTGTATGACCTGACAGAGACTGAGAGCAAGAGCGAGAGAGACTCCCAAGTCTCATTACAAGCAAGTGAGATCAAGAGATTTGTTACAGCTGGAACAACAGGGAAATTTCTTATGGGCTAGACAGGAAGTGTGCTGGAAAGGGAAACATGGCTGGTCCTCAGCAACATTCATCAAACTAAGAAACTAAAAGCATTGTTGTGTTACTGATGTCTGCAGAGAAGTTTTGCATTTTTTCATTTTTTTTGCAGGTATACCAAAATAATTCCACATTCCAGGGCTTACCTTCAGGCTGAGTCACTGCTCCAGCTGAAGGGATCGATGTTCAAAATGAAAACCATTGTAGCCCTTGTCCTGGGTGCTAGATTTCACAGGATAAAAAAGAGACCAGGCCACTGAGAGGGCTGCCCTGACAACTATTATGGCACCTGTACCTGGATCAGCACAACCCCAAGCACAAACACAGCCTGGGGGAAAAAAGGCTAGAAAGCAGTCCTGAGGAAAAAGACTTGGGGGTGGTAGTAGATGAGAAGCTCGACATGAGCCACCAATGTGTGCTGGAGCCCAGAGGGCCAACTGTGTCCTGGGCTGCATCAAAAGAATTGTGGCCAGCAGGGCCAGGAAGGTGATTCTGCCCCTCTACTCTGCTCTGGTGAGACCCCACCTGGAATACTGTGTACAGTTCTGTGGCCCTCAGCACAGGAAAGATATAGACCTGTTGGAGAGGGTCCAGAGAAGGGCCACCAAGATGATCAAAGGCCTGGAGCACCTCTGCTATGAAGACAGGCTAAGAGAATCGGGGCTGTTCAGCATTGAGAAGGCTCCAGGGAGACCTTATAGTGGCCTTCCAGTACTTGAAGGGGGCCTACAGGAAAGCTGAGGAGGGGCTTTTCATCAGAGAAGATAGGGATAGGACAAGGGGTAATGGTTTTAAACTGAGAGAAAGGAGATTTAGGTTAGACAATAGGAAGAAATTATTCACTATAAGGGTGGTGAGGAACAGGAATGGTTTGCCCAGGGAGGTTGTTGATGCCCCATCCCTGGAGGTGTTTAAGGCCAGGTTGGACAAGGTTTTGCACAACCTGGTCTAGTGGTAGGGTTCCAGAGGGCCAACTGTGTCCTGGGCTGCATCAAAAGAATTGTGGCCAGCAGGGCCAGGAAGGTGATTCTGCCCCTCTACTCTGCTCTGGTGAGACCCCACCTGGAATACTGTGTACAGTTCTGTGGCCCTCAGCACAGGAAAGATATAGACCTGTTGGAGAGGGTCCAGAGAAGGGCCACCAAGATGATCAAAGGCCTGGAGCACCTCTGCTATGAAGACAGGCTAAGAGAATCGGGGCTGTTCAGCATTGAGAAGGCTCCAGGGAGACCTTATAGTGGCCTTCCAGTACTTGAAGGGGGCCTACAGGAAAGCTGAGGAGGGGCTTTTCATCAGAGAAGATAGGGATAGGACAAGGGGTAATGGTTTTAAACTGAGAGAAAGGAGATTTAGGTTAGACAATAGGAAGAAATTATTCACTATAAGGGTGGTGAGGAACAGGAATGGTTTGCCCAGGGAGGTTGTTGATGCCCCATCCCTGGAGGTGTTTAAGGCCAGGTTGGACAAGGTTTTGCACAACCTGGTCTAGTGGTAGGGTTCCCTGCTCATGGCAGAGGGGTTGGAACCTGAAGATCTCTAGAGTTCCTTCCAACCTTAATGATTCTATGATCCTATTAGATCTCCAGACTATGAGCAAGAAGGCTCTGCAATGGCATGCAACAGAGTGTCAAGCCGAAACACTCAAGCATGCTCCAGAAAATCCAGCTCCTGAACTAGACTTAAACCAGCTGGATCAGTGAGGATTCCACATGGGGAGTGCACCTGGCTGCACTGCTACACCAGTACTATACTCTCCACACTACCTTCAAAGAACAAGCTCTGGGTTGTTTTGTTCATTTCCTTTTTTCTGAGCCTTGTCCAAAACAACCAAAAAAACTTTACAATCATTAATACTGTTTAATACTGTAATACTGAAGCTGTTTTCTTTCTCTTACATCAGTTTTTAGAAAGGAAGAAAATACCTATTTTCCTCTAAACTAGGAAAACATTACAAATCCAAAGTAAAGGACACCTTCCCTGGCAGTAAGGTGCAGGTTTAGTCTAGTCTTTGTGCTCAAAATGGCAGCAGCTGGAGAATTCAGGAATAATTAAAAGAACTGCTTTGGATTCTTCTTGCGCAGTACCAGGGCAATAAGATTTCTGGTAATTATATGAGGCTCTCAGTCCTGTTATCATCTTCTACTGAAGAAATTTGCTTTATTTAGGCTTGGCTGCATTCCTGACTCAAAAGAGGTTTTCCCTTGCTTTAGATTTTGAAGATAAGTATGACTGAACAGCTGTAGATCCAATCACCTGCCAGTTTGTCATTTGGATGAGGAATCTGGACAGCAGTAAAGTGAAAACACTTTACACAGCATTGGAAGCAAGATGAGATGGGAAGACCTTCTACAGTTACTTTCTTTCATTATTATTCCTAATGTAAACCAGAAGCTGCTTTCTTAGTGCTTAGATGGAAGGGCTTTCAGAGCACATCACCTGGAAAATGTGCCAAAGACCATCTCCTTGCAAAATGTTAAATAGCTGCACTGCAATTAGCTAACACAAAAGATTCATTCTTTGGAGATATCTTTAGTAGCAGACAGAGATCTCTGAAAATTAGGTCTGTGTTTCCTACCATTTGTATGTGCCTGAAAATAGTTATACTTATTGACATTGCTTAGGACCCAGACTTTTTTTTCCTTGATTCAGGAAAGAAAGTCACCTTTGCTGTATGAGGACAAAGTGTTTGCTCCTTTTGATGAGCATCCACGTGTGGTTATGGAAGAACACTTTGAGGCAAAACTAAGACAAGAAAGATAATTTGGGCCTCACTTTATAAGCTCACTTTAGGTTATTTTCTATAGGGAAACCAGATGAGGTCCTATGCACACTCTTGGCCCATGTTATAGTGTGGGTCCTTGCATCTCTCATACTTGCATGCAGTCAGACTGTGCACCCAGCTCTAACTGGCAGCTGACAAATGCTTCTGCATGTCTATGACCAAAAAAAAAATAAAAATAATCAAGGGCTTTCATTTGTATTGATTATAGAAAAGAAATTTATTAATGAGAAACTGTGAATGGGTGTACACTTGTAGCCATGAGAGTATGATCTACACAAAAGGAATTTGGCATAAAAGTTCACATACATTTTACAACAGTAAAAATAGAAAATGTACCTGCTCTATTTGTATTTAGGAATGACAAAAGAAACTGCATTTTGGAGAGGCAAAAATGCCTTTGACATCCTTGATGAGATATTTTAGGGGAAGATAGGCCAGAGGGATGATTCCACTTCCTTACAAGAGAACTGTCTCAGATTAAGAGAAGGCAAGGAGGTACTTATTCTAGCTACCAGTGACCTGAATACAAGCCAGGCCAAAAAGAAAAAAATCTGGAATGTTCTTTAATAAAATATAGTGACACTATAAGCCCTCCCACTCATGATTGGGAGGAAAAATGTGAAGGTGGAACTCCCTATTGGACCAGCCATTTCTTTCCCTTTCTGCATATCTTCTCAGCATCAGAAATTATTCCCAAGAATGTCCCAAGCAATGATTTGTTTAATTTCTCTTTCTCTCTCCTTCCACTCTAGACCCATTTCTTCAGAGGCCTTCTCAAGAGAAGTGAGATCTGTATCACATTTGGACTTCTAATCTTCACACAACAAACACTTAAACTACTGTGAGACGGACTGTCAACATGCAGATCACAGTGCCTCGGGCACCCACATGGGAAAAGTCTGAAACAACTTCCTCACTCCTCTTTCTTAGAGAATTATTCATCATTGCTCTTCCTTTCCCTCCCACCTCTACAGCAAGCACCCATGCCCATGCCTGCTGCAGGATGTATCTATCCCCTGTTTGGTTTGGACTCTTGAGTGCTGAGGAGGTGAGTGGGATATGCCAGCCCCTGCAGGCTGCTCTGTACGCTCTGTTCTCAGGGCTGTTTGCTGTGCGGGCCGCAGGCTTCAGGCCTTTGAAGGGTTGAATACCATCTTTTGATTTACCATGGCTGATGGGGTATGGGAAAGCTTTACAACTGAAATACACAGAAGAGTTTGGGGGGGGGAAGGGGGGCAGGGAGGGGAAGAAAAAGAAAAAAGTAAAAGGAAAAAAAAGAAAAGAAAGAATAACATAGGAAAGACCTTAATAACCACACAAATGATAATAAGTCATCAAATGGAATAGGTTAAAGAAGAGAAGAGACAGCTCTTAGCAATAGTATTAAATTATTTATAAAAAAAGCACAATCAAGTATCTCACCACTCAAAACAGTCTGTTTACACATATCTGTCATTATTTAAACACCTGGAGGGGATGCTGACACTTAGCTATTCAGCTCCAAGGCATACTTGGGTCTTTAGAGGTGGTGCTGATAAATCTCAACTGGTCAGGGGATTTTGGCAGTGGCAGATATTGATGATTTGGTTCTCATTTGTGTCATTTTGGCTATGAACAATCTCCTTAAGAGTTAGATGTCTCTTACAGTAAACAACTGAAAATTAATGGCTCTGGTAACATTACTCCTCCTCAAAATCTGTTTCTTCAACAGCAAGGTTCCTTTGCCATTTTGATAGAAGGAAAGTCCTGTATTAAGAAATATATCTGAAAGCTTTATAAATCTGAAGAGAGTACAGGTGAAGTTCAATTCAGGTTCCAACAATCTAAACTACCCTTCTGCTGAGTCGGGCATAGAAGAAGAGTGCTGATGTTTCCACTGATGCAACCTGTAGTCACTTTTAGGGGAAGATTTTAGGGGAAGTTTCCAGCTGAAAAGCTGGCAAATCTTGCACATACATTTTAATAAAAACCAAGGTTTCTATAGACCATTAGATGGAGACTCTTTGCTTTTAAGATATATGAACTTGCTTAAATGCATCTTTTTCTCTTCACTTTCTTATTCCAAAAACAGATATTAGGATCTGAATTGTATTTTCAAAGCCAAAAAGAGACTAGAAGCAATTTTAAAAAACAAGCTAGTTCCAGAGGAGAACTGCTGGACAACATATTGCCCAGGTCAGGATAAAGAACTCTAAAATCACCACTCAAGCTCATTTACAGTGCAGCAAGACCTTGATAAACTTACCCTACCAAGCTAGGACAGGAGTTCAAGAAAGATGACCATTGCTGCAGGTAGGGGTATATAATACTTCTTTTTTGCCCTCTACAAACAAAGCCACTACATACATACTGTTATCACCATAGCAGGGCTTTGAAGATGCTGATACTGTTAGCTGAAAAAATGCGAAAGCTTGTTCCAGTGAGGCTTAGAATTTTAAAAGCTGACACAAGCTTAAACAGACCATGCACACATCTTCATATAGAGTACCCTACATATTAGAAGAGATTTAACATTTTGCACAATGAAGATTGTTCTTGCGTCTTTGACTCAGAATCTCTTCTTATATTCCTGGATTCACATGAAGCAGAAAGTTGTATCACTGAAAAGTTAAAGAAAGCTTCTTCACAGGTATTTGCATTGTTTAGAAAGGCTGTTTATCATTCAGTAGAATAGTTAAAGACTGTCAAGAAAATACATTGAGTTTAATCTAATAGCACATTCACTTTCATTTTTCTTTTAATTATTGTTATTGTTTGAGCTGTTTCTCATTGTCTTTTTTTATTATTTTCTGGGAAAATGTAACTCTAAGGAGACAGAACATAACCCTTGGGGGGGATGCACTTTTATTATTGTTGCCTTCATATTAATAAAGACATGATACAAAAAACTAGGCTTTTTTACTAGATACAAAAATCACTAAAGGCTGAAACACAGAGCAGTTAGAAACAATTAGCAAATTAGTGAAATAGATTAAGTTGTATCAAACACTGCCAAATTTTATATAGGCTATGGTATTTGCAGGACTTCTGCTTGCTGTATCCATTTTGCTTCCCTCCCACATCTGCCTTTGACTGTTTTGAGTGATGCTGGATGAATGAGGGATGTAACTGATCAAAAGATGGACCAAGCAGCATGTCTCACACAGAGCTCACCAGTCCCAGACCAAGAAAGGAAACTTAAAAGTCTTAAAAACCGACACTGTCTGTAACGAAGAACTGACAGCAAATCTTCATGCAGCAATGCAGAAGAGAATTTCTCTCCGCAAAAGAGTATCATTATGAAAGTCTCAGCAGTTCGTTTAGAAACCAATCCAATCAAACCAACAGAAATTAAACAAAATTATTTAAAAAATAAACAAACACTAATCACAAGCCCAAAGTGAAGGGGCAGTGGAAGGTTTTTATACAATACCTAAATTGACCATAAGTTTGACACGGCCTCCATCCAGCTCCAGGCGCAGAGTGTCAGCAGAGTCTCGTGAGGTGGTTGCCATCAACAGCCCATAAGCACGCTGGGACATGAAACGGAAGGAGACATCTTCTGCTTCTGTATGCATGACCATAGGCATGATGATCTTCATATACATGCTGCCATCATAGCTCAATATAGAGGCCTCTGCAAGGAATCAGCAATTGCAAAGAATAAAAAGAAGTTACACCTCTGAGGTGGCCTGACATCACAGAGCACCATGTTCACAAAAACCATACCACTTAACACAGATAGGCATGTAACTGGCGAAAAACACAGCAGCTGTTTAACTGCATTCAGCAACCCTATGTGGAATCTATGAGCAACAAACACAAAGATATAGTATTCACAACTGGAGGCAGACATACCCATGGAGACACAATCCCCAAGGACAAGTGTGTTAGATCAGGGTCCTTTTGTGATAATGAGCTGGCAAAGACTGTTTTTCATGTCTTCCAGAAGATGCAATCTCCTCCATCAGTCCAGCCTTTCCTAGCAGTTGCTGTAGTGATTACTTTAAATAACGTCTACAGCACTTCTACTAGAGCATTTAGTCTTGCCTTTGACAGCTCAGAGTTCCTATTTCTAGAACTCTTAAGAGTGGTTGCTTAGTTAGAGTGAAATTTAAGTCTATTGCAAGATCTTCAAAAAAAAAGAACAGTATGAAGCAAGTTTCCTAACAGGTCTTTTCTATATCAGATTTGTGAAGTTTTGTGATCTTTATTTTTCCCCTCCTTGCCAACTAATGTTAGTAGAGCTCTGCTGACACAGCTGATGGCACTGCAATACAAATTAAGAAAGGAAAAAAGCAAACTCTGTTGCAAGTTTAAGTGTCATTCAAACACGGAAAAAGTCAGGAGATGAAGGCAAAATAAAAGCCAGCAGGAGAAAAAAAAAATAGCAAGGAAAGAAATTATATGTTTCTATGATCTTTGAGGATATCAAAGAAAATGGGAAGTTCAGCTGAGAAAAGGAGTTATAGTACTTAGTATTCTCTATTTGTTCAGGGTCTGCAGAAACTGATATTCTTCTCTAAGGGGGTAGAATAGAACTGCAGCAACTTCTACAGCATGGCAATCATTGTTTCAGCCTGGGAAGATGATCTAAAGCATTTTTATCCACAAAATGTACAAATATACATAAAAATATTAATTTATAACACTGAGCATCCCTTCTCCCCACAATTCAGCAACCCTATGTGGAATCTATGAGCAACAAACACAAAGATATAGTATTCACAACTGGAGGCAGACATACCCATGGAGACACAATCCCCAAGGACAAGTGTGTTAGATCAGGGTCCTTTTGTGATAATGAGCTGGCAAAGACTGTTTTTCATGTCTTCCAGAAGATGCAATCTCCTCCATCAGTCCAGCCTTTCCTAGCAGTTGCTGTAGTGATTAATTTAAATAACGTCTACAGCACTTCTACTAGAGCATTTAGTCTTGCCTTTGACAGCTCAGAGTTCCTATTTCTAGAACTCTTAAGAGTGGTTGCTTAGTTAGAGTGAAATTTAAGTCTATTGCAAGATCTTCAAAAAAAAAGAACAGTATGAAGCAAGTTTCCTAACAGGTCTTTTCTATATCAGATTTGTGAAGTTTTGTGATCTTTATTTTTCCCCTCCTTGCCAACTAATGTTAGTAGAGCTCTGCTGACACAGCTGATGGCACTGCAATACAAATTAAGAAAGGAAAAAAGCAAACTCTGTTGCAAGTTTAAGTGTCATTCAAACACGGAAAAAGTCAGGAGATGAAGGCAAAATAAAAGCCAGCAGGAGAAAAAAAAAATAGCAAGGAAAGAAATTATATGTTTCTATGATCTTTGAGGATATCAAAGAAAATGGGAAGTTCAGCTGAGAAAAGGAGTTATAGTACTTAGTATTCTCTATTTGTTCAGGGTCTGCAGAAACTGATATTCTTCTCTAAGGGGGTAGAATAGAACTGCAGCAACTTCTACAGCATGGCAATCATTGTTTCAGCCTGGGAAGATGATCTAAAGCATTTTTATCCACAAAATGTACAAATATACATAAAAATATTAATTTATAACACTGAGCATCCCTTCTCCCCACAACCAACCTTTATCAAAGGTAATGCTGTAGAGAGTGCTCCATGTAGGACTCCTACCACAAAACTACATACAAAAATTCCAGAGGTTAAAAAAAAGACCAGTTCAGCTCCCTGGAAGGATTGGTCTGTAAAGAAATCACTCTAACCAGTTTCTCATCCAGTTTAGCTGCAGTTTTCTCAAATGTTTGTGATTTTTACCAGGCACCCCAGACACATACCCTAGAAAGCTAACACCCCATCTAATTTAACCAACTGCAACAACTTGTATTTGGATTCTAGATGTTCTCCTCATGTTTCATCCCTTTGTACCATATTTCCCAGCCATGCCACTCATGCTGACAGGAAAACAGCAAGGTTGGCAGAGCCAATCCTTATGTCCTCTCAATGCCTAAATGTTAGATGCTAGAGCAGGGTACATGATGGGAAACTGAGGAACAGATATATGTCCAAGCTGGAAAGCACCCATGGCTGGCTCCTCAATGGCCCATAACAAAACTCCAGCATGTAATAAATAAGCAAATGAGGTGATAAATAAGGATGTAAGTATCATATCCAGCTGATAAATTGACAGAGAAGTAGTGTTTGGTAGTATGGTCACAAAGCACCTGGTGGGGTTCACTGTGGTTGTCCTGGTGCAGCAACCCACAGCATGAATAGCTGGTAAGCAGCACCTGTCTGATCATGGGACATAGTTTAGAAGAAAACTTTTCTGGGAGCAACATTAAAAAAGTTGTCTGTGAACATCAACCCTATTTACCAAGTTTCTTAGCTGCAGTCCCCCCACATTGTCATGGTCTGCACACACAAAGATCTCTACACGCAACATCCACTCAGCCATACATAGACCTTCTGAGTACCAGCTGGCAGTGTTGCCCTGGGGACTCACATCTTCGCTTGGCCATGAAATAGAAAATGAAATAAAGCTTCTTTTTTCAAGCTGGAGGAACCGTTTCTTCTTTTCAAAGCTCATTTCTCTTCCCCCTCACGTCTGTACCTCTTACTTGCCACCCACAGCTGCAAGCGGGAACTAAATGTACTGTATATTATACATACACTCAAAAGCAATGTGTATGTACACACAAACCCTCCTTGCTCTCTTTTCTCTCTCTCTTCTCTCTCTCTGTGCATTGTATTAGAAAATGCAGTCAAGCACGAAATGGCTCTTTTGAAGCCTTCAGCTCAGATGTGCCTTGCATGAAACCGTTGCTTGGCCTAGTGCCTCAATAGCTGTGAGAAGGGGGTTGGAAAGTATCAGGACTTTGAGTGGGAGTAGCTGACACAAGTGCCCCAGCTCTTCTGCTTCCTTTTCCACAGCATCATGTGCTAGGTGCTTTGGAAACAGGAGTTTTTCTGTAGACACTAAAAGTCAACAAATCAAAAGTGAGGCAATAAGGAGTCTCTTCTCATCAAAAAGAATTTGTGTCCTTCAGCTCCACTGACCCCATTGCCAGACAACTACTGTTATTAGACAAGAAACTCCAACCACTATTATTATACTTGTATAAGAAGGACCTGAAGAACACCCAGAATTGCTGAAGAAGGCACAGAAGTCTAGACAGTGTTTCAACTGACACCCCACAGTGCCCTGAATCAGTTACTGCTGTCCCTTCCCCAGCTAGTATGTTACAAACAGAGAGCAATGAATCCTTGAGACAATTAAGCAGATAAAATTAAATAGCCTGAAATAATTGCAACAGCCTCCACACAACCATTGGAAATGATGAATTTCTCTTCTTGTGTGTGCCCTATGCTGACCTCAGCCTGGCTCAGATCAGACCACCTATGCACTTCATATATTTTAAACAGAAAGAGATTTCATTCTCAACCTTGCAAGTCTTCACCATCCGGAGTATCTGGGAGCTTTTTCAGCAGATCTCCTTGCAAGAACATCATTCCTTCCAGCTATGAAAATATCCCTTCAGAGGAGGGTAGTTGCCTAGTAGCAGTCATACAAATAAAACCCATTTCCTTACCCTGGCAGTTAGCCCCCAAAACTTGAGGAAGGCATGTTAAAGATGAGAAACACATACAGCAAATCTGCTCAGGGCTGAATGCAACCTCACAACAACTAGGTGACCTCAGCCCCCTAGGCACCTGAGCTGGCAACTTTTGCCTGCATACAGGAATCCATTTGACTGTCCTCAGCCATCTGCAGCAATGGGACTGTAATACTTGTGTTCAGCACCATAAATACAGCAGAGTTATCCATGTTTAAAATAAATGCACAATCCTTCCACTCTTCTACATTTAGGGTAGCTATTATACTTGGATGTCCCACAAAGGCATGCATATGAGCAATGGGTGAAACTATGTTTCTGGGACCCACAGATTTGTACAGAAAAAAAAGATGCAGAGCAGCATTTATTTGCGATTCCAAATCCAGAAGCTTCATTGCCATTAGCCTGGAGATGGGAAGAGGAAGAAACCAGGTGCTGATTCAAAACTGCCATGACATAATGCCAGGGATCTGTGAAAATCAATATGTTATTAGGAGTGATTAGCTTCCCAGTCTTGTGCTCTGAGATCCTGCCAGCTTTAATTTTATGCTTAGCATCCAAAGGAGAAATTCACTGCTGCTTCCCCACCAGGCTCTGCATAAGCCTCCTGGGAAGACAGCAACAGGCATATTCTTAGAATACAGACAGAAATATTCAAGACCTCTTTATGCTCTTTCTCCTGCTTTCTAACCTTCCTCTTGTACTGATCTCCATTTTTTGCCTCTTTCTTTTCTTCTCCCTTTTAGCTTTTTCTGCATTTTCCAGTTCTTCCCCGTGAGCTCTTTCCCCTGCCTCCCAGACTAAAATAAAACTTTCTTCCTGAAATTTCCAGAAAGATGACAGTTGAAAAAGAAGGAAAAAAATATCCTCCCTTCATGAAAAGTTTAGCTGGATTTACCAATGACAGCAGTTCAGGGCACATGACCTATTCTCCCTACAGCTACATTTGCAAGAGTTGGCTATTGCCACCCAATCTCATGGAGCAGAGCTTCCAGAGACAAGTGTGAATAATGAGAGAGGCATGAGAGACCTGGCAAGGAGCAAGTGTAGGAAACAGTTATGCTGGTTCAAAACTACAGGG